TCTGAACTAGGAGACCATTAGCTAACCTCACTTATTAGCACTCCCACATTCTTTTTTTCTTGTCAGTAGATCAAACTGCATTCTGGATGTCTAGCAACCCCTCCAAAATGAGTAGTAAAACAGCATGTTATTTCATACATAAATAACTTGTCCTCCCAAAATTTAATATTCTCTTCTGAAAGTGGTGGTGGATAGATTAAGGCATTTTCTCTGTAATAAAATATAAAAAATTAGGCCAAGAAAGAGAACTGAAATAATTACACAGCATTTGATTTATATCTGTTCCAGGTAAGCTTTAAAAGAGACTAATATAAGACAACTTGGAAGTCTAATTATAACAAAAACAAATTTTAATAATCTAGCCAAATTTCATTATGTGATGCTGTTAAAAAGGTCAAGTAGGTTCTCCCTGATGGCACAGCCAGTTAGAGTACAGCACTGTGGAGCTCTCCACAGCCACCACCTTGTCAGTTTGATCCCCTACCAGGGAGGTGACCCACATGGCATGGTAGACCTCTTCTGTCTAATCCATTGCTCCCCTCAGCAGTGGAATTCAGTCATCTACCTGTTCTGCTCCCTACTCTGTCTCTGGTGAATCCTTTTACGCCCCCACACCTTTGTCCTGTACCCCAGTTCTTGTATGCATAAATAAATAAATGTTTAAAAAATAGAAGATGAGGAGTATAAAAACACTTCCTATTTGGGGAAGAATAATCAGATTTTTTAAAGCACTTATTGAGATAAATTTCATATGCCATAAAATTAGCCCATAAGAGGTATAAAATAAAGTTTAGTGCATTTTAGTATATTGAGAGTTTTATAATAATCATCACTATCTAATTTAAAAGGTTTTATCATTATCATCATAAATTAAAGATTTCAAAACTGCAGGCAGTCAATACCTCTTCCATAGCACCTGCTAGCCTTTTTCTACCTTTATAGATTTGCCTGTTATGAACAATTTATATAAATGGAGTCATATATATTTGGCCATTTGTGTCATGGCCATTTGTGTCTGGTGACTCAGTTACTTAAGAGAATGTTTTCAAGGTTCATCTATGTTGGAGTGTGTGTCAGTATTTCACTTCTCTTTAAAGACCAAATAATACTCCATTGTAGAAATATAACACTTTATTTAACCAGTCATCAGACATTTGGGTGGCTTCTTCTATCTTTTGGCTTTTTTGAATAATACTGTTGTGAACATCTGTGTACCTTTGTGTGGGCATGTGTTTTTGTTCTCTTGAATACAGATGGTGAATATTGCTATGTGATGTGGCTACTCTGTGTTTAACCTTAGAGTAGCTACCTGAATTTTCCAAAGTGGCTGTACCATTTTACATTCCTACTGGCATGTGTAAGAGATCCAGTTTACATCCTCACCAACACCTTCCTTTGGCTTTTATAATAGTCACCTGGTGGGTGACACTAGTTTCTTACTGTGGTTTTGATATGCATTTATCTAATAACTAACAAGGATAGTTATTAGAAAAGTATTTCTTTGGAAAAATATTTCTTGAAATCTTTGCCTATTTTTTAACTAGGTTGTTTTTTTTTATTGTTGAATTGTAATACAAGAAAATGTATCCTTTATTCCTTACAGGTCTCAGATGATTTGCAGATACATGATTTGCAACTATTGTCTCCTATGAATCTTCCCATTTAACATTTTACATTTTCTTGAAGGGGTCTGTTAAAGTACATTTTAAAAATTTTTTGATGGGGTCCCCTCCTGGTGGCACAACGGGTTGGGGCGCAGCACTGCAAGCTGGCCACAGCTGCTTCAGTGCAGGTTTGGTCCCTGGTTCCAGAGGTGACCCACATGGCGTGGCAGACCTCTCCTGGCCAGCCAGCTGCTCCCTTCAGCAGTGTACTTCGTTTGTCTGCCTGTTCTGCTCCCCACTTTGTCTCTGGTGAAGCATCTCACTGCCCCTGCGCCTCTGGCTTGTACCCCAGTTCTGTATGAATAAATAAATCTTAAAAAAAAATAAGATAAATAAAAAAGAAAAATTTTTTGATGCAAGTTTTGATGAGTTATACATTTTTTGGCTTGTTTTTTTCCATTTGTACTTCTTGTGTCACTATCTGAGAAGCCAATGCCTAATCTCCTATTTACTGCGTCCTGTGTTTTCTTCTAAAAGTTTTATAGTTTTAATAGTTATATTTATGTCTATGATCCATTTTGAATTTTCATATAAGATGTGAGGTTAGGAATCCAAATTCAGACTTTTGTGTGTGGAGATTTAGTTGTTCCAGCACTGTTTGTTTGACAAAACTTTTCTTTCTTTATTGAGTTGTTCTGGCATCCTTGTGGAAAATCAGTGTTCGTAAATGTATGGGTGTATTCATGAATTCTCAATTCTACTTCATTGCGCTATGTCTACCCTTTTGCTAGTTCTTTATATGTTAGTATCTTACTTTGTAGTGACTTTTGAAATTGGAAAATGTAAGTCTTCCAGTTTTATTTATTTTTTCTCCCAAGATTATTTGGGCTAGTTGATGTTCATTGGATTTTTAAAATTTAATGTATTTCTTTATTTTACTTAATTCTTCATTTTGCACATTTTTTTCATTTCAGTTATAATCCCTGTGGAAAGGATGTCTTTTGGATTTCTATATGAATTTTAGGATTAGATTGTCAGTTTTTGTCAGGATGCAGCTGGAATTTTGAGGGGGGTTGCATCTGTAAATAGTTTGCTTTCTTATAGTAGTTGGGTCTTCCAACCGTGGACATTAGATGTTTTTCCATTTATTTAGGTCTTCTTAATTTCTTTAAATTATGTTTTGTAGCTTTCATTGCACTACTTTCACTGTACTCTTTTTGATGCCATTGTCAATGCAGTTTTCTTAATTTCATTTATGAAATTCCTAGTGCATAGAAATACAGTTGCTTTTTAAAGTCTTATATCCTGCAACCTTGCTAAACTCATTTATTAGTTATAAAAGTTTTTTTCATGAATGGGCTTACTTATAATTTACCATATATAAGATCATATCAATTGTGAATAGAGTTAGTTTAACTTCTTTCCAATCTAGTATTGTTTTTAAGATGGACAGGACATCCGCTGGGCTAAACATTTAGCAGGTAGTTGTTTCATGGAACAAAACTAAGGGAAGATTTGGGCAGGAATAGAAATTTGAGGGCCATGATTGACATGTGAAAAGTGTAGTGTTTTGGACGAAGCCAGATTGAAGCAAATTAATTTAATGGGAGGTGAGGTAACAGAGATAACTAATACAGAACTACAATGAGAAGAAGAGTGCTGCAGAAGAGTAAAATTATAGAATTTCTATCAAAGTCTCAAAGGTACTTGAGCTGGTTCATTTGACACTGCACCTCCCCGAACACCAGCTGTACAGCTCATTGTAGCAGGGCTGAGGCTGGGCTCTCCTTTCTGACCAATCTTCTTTCATCAGGCTTCCCACTCTGCTGAAGGGTCCAGATTTAATCCTTTCTGTGATCTATCCTTGGCCCTCTGTATTAGAATTTTTATTGGTGGGTATATCTTAACATTCTGCAATTTAAACTCATTTTTTATTTTTTTAGATTTATTTATTTATACATGCAAGCACTGGCAGATAGGTCAGAGGTGCAGGGGGTGAAGGGATTCACCAGAGACAGAGTGGGGAGCAGAACAGATAGATTGAACAAAATACATTGCTGAGTGGAGAAGTGGGTGAAACAGGAGAGGCCTGTTGAGATATATTGGTCCCCTCCCTGCCTGGGGTTTGAATTCCTGCTAGCTTCATAGTACTGCACCACCAGGGAGGATCCTAGGGAATCATTTAATTAAAGGTATTCAAAGTTGAGGCTAGGAGGATATGGAAAAAAACTCGAGTGCCTTTGAGGCTTTGATAGAAACAATAAAGATTGAGTTAGAATGAGAAAAGAAAAGAACCAAACTCTCCAAGGAAAGTGGAATTTATACCCTAGGTGAAAGGGCTATCCTAAAGTAAGAGAAGCAAGCTCTCTCATATATCTAGTGTTAACACACAAAATTTTAGTAAATACTTATAAAACCTGTAAGTATTCTAGCCCTTTCCCGCATATTATATATGGGGAATAAATAGTTTAAAGGTGAAAGAGATGGCCCGAAGTTCCAGGAGCAATTAGGCAGTAATATCTAGATTACAGCCCAGTTTTCTGAAATTCTGGGTTTTTTCTTTTTTTTTTTTTTTTTGGCATTTGCACCACATCACACAACTACTGCTCCTGTTGTTTCTGTGTAGAATTATTTGGTTTTTTTTTTAGTGTGCTTTTATCAAGAACATCTCGTCTGTTGTAATGTGCTGCTTTTGTTCACAACATCTCATTTACATAAAGACTTCTAGTGGGGAGGAGGGTGCTAACAGAAAAAGAAACTTTTGCTTGTAGTTAACTTCTGCCACCATGATTGCTATAGTTGATTGAAATATCAGCCATAAGCTTTTCCTCATTAGAAAGACTTGGGGAGGGTAGTATACAGAACTAGAATACTTATTATTAATTTCTCCCTTTTAAAATAGGTTAATAAAACTTGATAGTGATGTGACTTATTCCATATATGCCTTTTGAGCTGAAAAATGTGCTTTGTATTTCTCATTTGTTAACTTAATTTTTTACAAGAGTCCTCCGAAGGAAGATACTTAAGATCCAAATTCTATAAATAAGGAAAGTTAGGCTCAGGGGGATTAAATAGTTGAATGAAACAAGGGTCAGGTTGCACACTGAAGCTTGAATGTCTGACTGTCATGCCCATGATAATACTGTATGTAAGCAGTGTGGCTATTGAGAGAGGGTGAACAGTGGAATTCAAAATAAAGCCTCACTCTACACCAAAATTCATGGGTACCTCCATTGTTTAACTTCAGTTATAGATGCACATTTTAGGAATGAGAACTTACTTTGTAATACATAGCTTGGTCACTTTGCAGAATGTTGACACATGATACTTCTTTTTCCTTTTCAATATTCTTATACTACTTTAATGGTGGCTCTTGAAATACTATTTCCTTTTCAGAAAAACCATGCCAGATGGATCATCTGGATCGAATTCTTCTGTCTGGCATCTATAATGTACGCAAGGGAAAGACCCAGCTGCATAAGTGGGCTGAACGCCTAGTTGTTCTCTGTGGCACCTGTCTCATCGTTTCCTCAGTGAAGGATTGTCAAACTGGGAAGATGCACATTTTGCCTCTGGTTGGGGGAAAGGTAAAACTTACAAGGATAAATTGTTCTTTATTTGAGCATCTTTTTTTTTTTTTTTTTTTTTTATGCATGCAAGAACTAGGGCACAGGCCAGAGGTGTGAATGGGTGAGAGATTCACTAGAGACTGAGTAGGGAGCAGAACAGGCAGATCCACTAAAACACACTGCTGGGGGAGGAGTGGGAGAGACAGGAAAGGTCTGCTGTACCATGTGGGTCAGCTTCCTGGCCAGAGATAGGACTTCGTGCTGCAGTGGCTTCAGACAGCCCCACAGCACTAAGCCCTAACACTTTGTACCACCAGAAAGGCCCCCATTTGAGCATCTTAATTAAGAAACACCACATATCCTTTTCAAAGAAGTCAATGTATTATTAAAGATTACATCACCAAGTAGATTTTTTGAGTTTTAGGTTTATTTTTTTAATGTTTATTTATTTTTTTAAAAAAGTTTATTTTATGTATGTGTCCATACAAGAACTGGGGTATAAGCCAGAGTTGTGGGATGGGCTGGGGAGAGGATTCATCAGAGACAGAGTGGGGAGCAGATTGACTGAAATACACTGCTGAGGGGAATCAGCAGGTGGGATCAGAGAGGTCTGCTGCTTCATGGCCGGGGATTGAACTCATGTTGCAGTGGCTGCGGATAGTTTCAGAGTGTTGAGATTTAATCCCTTGCGCCATGAGAGAGGCTCCCATGAGAGAGTTTTAGGCTTAAATAAACTGATTTAGGCTAACTGAAGCATAAAACAGATTTATTTATATTACATACTCTCTGGAAGTCTGCCCATATCACAGATTCTGCTGTCTTTTGAAGACTCTGCTGCCTTTTTTCTTGGGCACTGGTTTCATGGGTAACATCAAGAGTAGACAAAGTGTGCTACCATTAGAGGCTACAGAACTTAGAAGTAGCTTTCAGTACCCTTCACAAATAGATGTTTTCTAGTGAATTACATTCAGCCATAAATCGTTGGTTAAAAAAGAGGGGAGTCAGTTCAGGACTGGATCAGCCGCTCCATAATGCTCTGGGGAACCTAGGTACCTGCTTTCCGGAAAACCATTTAGAGCACATACTTGCCAGTTTGAAAAGTAAAGGTTTTTCTTCAATTAAAGACAAACACAAGTGTTAAGATTGAAAGTATACCAAGTAGAATAAATAGAAATAAATGAAAGAACTTAGACATGAAGGGCAAAGGAACTTCCACAGAGAAAACCTACAAAAATGACAAGCTAATAACAGTCTTCTTTTCATCAATAATATATATGCTAGGAGAATATTTGAAAAAATGCTGAAAGAAAATTAACATTAATCTATATATTATATCCAGCTAAATTATCTTACAGACTGTTAAACCAATACATCCTTACTGAATGAACTGAAGGATATAATGTCCCAAAAATGACCTCCCCCTGTAAATAAAACACACAGGAAAGCAAATTCAGAGGTGAAATGTGAGATATAAGAAATAATGATGAGGCCCTCCCTGGTGGCGCAGCGGGTTAAAGCACAGCACTGAAAATCTAAAGCCGCTTCCGCATGAGTTCGATTCCCGTCTGCCCCAGAGGTGACCACATGGTGCGGCAGACCTCTCCTGACCCGCCCGCTGCTCCCCTCAGCAGTGTACTTTGTCGATCTGCCTGTTCTGCTCCCCACTCTGTCTCTGGTGAAGCCTCTCACCGCCCCTGAGCCTCTGACCTGTACCCCAGTTCTGTATGCACAAATAAATAAATCTTTAAGAAAAAAAAAAAGAAATAATGATGAGTGTAAACATTGATAAAATATGGTGGTAAATTTAATATTGATTGTAGTAATTTTCAAATATTTTTTATATTTAAAAATGCTAAGGGTATCCTGAATAAGATAATGGTGTGTTCAGTAAGGACAGTGGGATCCACTTTTGGCATAAGAGAATAGAAACATTAAAAAACTTTAAACTTTATTAGAAAGATGGTTAATTATGAATTTAAAAATATAAAAGATAACTACTAAAAGTAGAGGTAAAGAATATATATATAAAACTTTAACACAACTAAGTCATGAAAAACAGAAAAATGTTAAGTAATTAGGATGGCAAATTGTGATATCACAGTATTTCTGATTCTAAAATTGTTATTTAAAATCCCACTGATAACTACTTTATAAAAGACAAACTTAAAACATAGAAAAGAAGGTAGAATATGAAATGACGAGAAAGTAGTAACCAAAACAAAATTGGTGTGGTTCTATTAATATGTGAAACATTTATATGACAGTTTAAAATGGAACCAAGGATTTATATTCAGACTGTTACACTCTATACTAAAGAAGATATACAAATGGCACATAAACATATGAAAAGATTTTCAGGGTCACTAACCATTAAAGATACACAAATTAAAGTCATATACCTCAAGAGTGACAAAAATTGAAGGACTGATGAATACCAAGCCTAGCAAAGACAATGTCTTTTGCTTTTTGATAAAATTTTTTTTTTTAGTGGTTCTGGTTTTCTCCCCTCTACAGGTAGAAGAAGTAAAGCGAAGGCAGTACTCTCTTGCATTCAGCTCAGCAGGAGCCCAAGCTCAGACCTATCACGTCAGCTTTGAGAGTTTAGCCGAGTACCAGAGATGGCAACGACAGGCATCCAAGGTGATAAGCTGTCAAACATCTGCTGTGGAGATAAGCATATAGAAGCCCAATAGAAAAGTATTTTGAATTGTACTTACTCTCAAGAGTTATAATTTTTTTGTGCATATTAATCTAAATTTCTCTGAGTCTTAATTAAATCAAAATTCCTCCAGTTTCTTAACTTGCTATTTATATGTGCATAATATAGAATATTTTCAAAAGTGTTTTCAGATGCATTTACTCTTACACCACCTCTGTGAGGAAGATAGAACATTTTTTTTCTTTTTATTGAGGTAATACCAGGTTCTAGGTATACATTTTATACCCCCAGTAGCTGTGTGTGTGCATCATACCACATCCACCAACAACTAATTGGCCTTCTACCTATTTCATCCCCTTCCATTTCCCCTGGCAGCCATCTAAGCTTTTGCTTTTGTTTTATTTGTTCAACTTTCTTTTTTCTTTTACTCCACAAATGAGTGAAATCATACAGTATTTGTCTTTTTCCTTCTGACTTAGCATAATTTCAAGTTCCATCATGTTGTTGGAAATGGCAAGATTTCATCCTCTTTCATGACTGAGTAGTATTCCATTGTGTTTATATACTACATTTTTATCCATTCACCCATAGAAAGAGAGAGCTTTATAGGAATTAAGACACAATCAGATACGGCCCTTGAAGGAAGAGGTTCACATAACTTTTCTGGAACAATATTCCATGAGAGATGGATCCTTTCCTTACTTGTGGCCTAATTCTTTGCCTTTGTATGTTTAGCACAGGCTTGATGAACCTTCTGAATTTAAACTTATTATTGGGACAAGATCTATAATGCTTTCACAAATTTACTCCTGTTATTCTTATGTGCTGAAAATAATTAACCTTTTAGCATAATTTCTTACTTTTTTAGCCATTCAAGATGAACTACTCTAAAATTGTATTTGCAGCTCACATTTTCTTGTCTTCCTAGCCAGCTTTGCAGAATGTTAGCACTATTTTTTTGGTAGTGCTAAATAGCTGAATAAGGGATTGTTTCAGTGTAATGACATGCCATCAAAGCATGAATGACTTTTCTAGTGATATTTTGTTTGGATTTACAGACCTATTTTCTCAACCATGCTTTGTTAGTATAGACCATGTTTTTGTTTTATTGAATTTTCTGCAGTTATATGATGGCGTCAGTAAAAAATAAATAAAACTAGTTTCAATTTTAAGTAGTTATTCCATTATCCTGCCCTTATAAAGAGAAGTTATTATTTTTGGTACCCACTTGGATGCTGAGCGGTATGCTTTGTGCTTGGTTATTTAATTTTATCCTTACAACAGATGAAGAATGTACACTGATAAGTTGTAAAGCCCATGTGCCTTTTGATATCATAGTGTCCCCAAAGCTTTATATAGTCATTTTGAATTATCTAAGCATTGCTTCTTATGTGAAATTATGTTAACTGTCTATCTTTATTATTTTTTTCTTTTACTTATAGATTGTATAGCTTGTCCCTTTGTGTGTTTAAGCAGCTTATTGTTTTAGGAGAAAGTAAAAATCAATTGGTATTTATAAATGAGCAATTGGATCTCATTGTCTTTCCTTTCCAATGTTGTTAGTCATGCATTTTTGTATAAATACCATTGTTCCAATGCTCAGTGAGAGACTTGAAGTATAATGCCCCTTGGCTTTTCTTTTTAACCTTCAGGTGGTGTCTCAGCGAATGAGTTCTGTTGATCTCTCCTGTTACAGCCTTGAGGAGGTTCCTGAACATCTTTTCTACAGTCAAGATATCACCTACCTCAACTTGCGACACAACTTCATGCAATCAGAAAGACCAGGGGGCCTTGACACTCTCTACAAGTATGTGGAGAATTGGTTTCCTGACTAATTATCATTGGATAGTAGTCAGTGTCTTAGTGGTTTGTGGCTGTGAGTAAGCATGTTTACCATCGTTATTTATACATACGAGAACTGTGGTGTAGGCCAGAGGTGTGGGGGGTGAGGATTCACCGGAGACAGTAATAAGGGTAAAGATTTCAAGCATATCAAATATGCTTACTAGAAAAGAGTTGTAGCACTAGGAATATTTTTTCCTTATATTCTATCTTCTGTAAAAAGAATTCCCGTGACAAGAGACCTGGTTTTTTATGTATAGACTAGGTGTTAGTCATTATCTTAGACTTTATGTCAAGTACAGTGTTTGGCATGTAGTGAGAGCTAAGTAAATATTTGTGGAACACATCTAAATAACCGACATTTAAATAGGTCACTTTGTTATCCAATAGAATAAGTTGTTCCTTTGCTGTTTAGATTTTCTCAACTGAAGGGTCTGAACTTGTCTCATAATAAACTCGGGCTGTTTCCTGTATCATTATGTGAGATTTCTACCTTGACTGAACTCAACCTTTCCTGTAATGGCTTCTACGACCTGCCCAGTCAGATCAGCAGTTTACTAAAGTAAGTATCTATCTTTCACAAATTCATCTTTTCCCTTATAGATGTAGGGATTTGTCTGACATTTGGAATGAAAGTAGCACCTTGAGCTTCTACAGGGAAATAAATCGTGTAATTGTAATAGCTCTTGTCAGCAGCAGTGACTTGCCTGCAGTAGTGATTAGTCTATAACTCACCAGCAAAGGATCTGTTTTTGCTATTGGAGGACTTCATGTAAGTTATTTAGGAGTCTTTTATTAAGTCTCTATAGGTAGACTTAGACATTTTATCACTATTGGATTCATAAAGATAATGGTGACATAAATAAGATTCATACTTCTGGTTCTGTCCATTCCAAATAAAACCTTTGTCAAAGTACATTTGTTTTCTTCTACAGTCTTCAAACCCTCTGTCTAGATGGCAACTTTTTAACTACTCTACCTGAAGAATTGGGAAATCTGCAACACCTTTCTTCTCTGGGAATTTCCTTCAACAACTTTAGTCAAATTCCCGAGGTTTATGAGAAACTCACTATTTTAGATAAAGTGGTTATGGCAGGAAATCGAGTGGAAGTCCTAAACCTAGGGGTGCTGAATCGGATGAGCCATATCAAGCATGTTGATTTAAGGTAAGGCCTTCTTCACCATACCTCCCTTTAGATTGTCTTTTACAAAGACTTATTTAAAACTTTAGGATTTTGGAACAGTGCACACTTTCAAAGCTTCATTTTTCACTGGATAGCAATGATAGTGAAAAGAAGTAGATGAACCATATAATAGAGACTTTGAAAATGCCTGACAGAGATTTTTCTGCCTCACCCTCACAGCCACATTTATGGGAATTCCTATTTCTTTTTTTTTTTTCAAAGATTTATTTATTTGTGCATACAGAACTGGGGTACAGGCCAGAGGCTCAGGGGCGGCGAGGGGCTTCACCAGAGACAGAATGGGGAGCAGAACAGGCAGATTGATGAAGTACACTGCTGAGGGGAGCAGCGGGCAGGTCAGGAGCGGTCTGCCACGCCTTGTGGTCACCTCCGGGGCAGGTGGGAATCAAATTGAAGTGGCTGTAGCTTCTTAGTGCTGTGCTTTAACCTGCTGCGCCACCAGGGAGGACCTGAGAATTCCTATTTTTTCACATGCTTATCAGTTGAATTTTTACCAGCCTTTTCTCTTATTACCATTATAATAGGTAAAAAATAATATTCTTTGTTTCAATCAGTATTTACTTATGTGTTTGAATATCGTTTTATAGGCTCTTGGTAGTTCATATTATTCCATAAATTTTTCTTTTGATTAATTTGGTTTCTTAATATACTTTGTACCATTATTACAAGGCTAAAGTTACTACTAAAGATTTATTTTTTAAAGATTTACTTATTTATACATACAGAACTGGGGTACAAGCCAGAGGTACAGAAGTAGTGAGAGGATTCACCAGGGACAGAGTTGGGGAGCAGAACAGGCAGATCAATGAGGTACAACTGCTGAGGGGAGCAGTGGGCGACACAGGAGAGGTCTGGGGTAAGGGATCGAACTTGCTCTGAAGCTGCTGCAGCTAGCTTCAGTGTGCTGTGCTTTAATCCACTGCACCACCAGGGAGGGCCCCTCAGGGTTTACTTTTAATAACAGTTTTATTTAATAATTGTGATCTTTTCCTAAAGGCAGCCAATAAATGAACATACTAGATATTCTGTCATTTACGCTAACAGATTGATGTCCTTGTAGTTGTTTTATTGACATACAGGGAAATGAGAACAGGCCTGTGTGCATTAAATAGAACAAAACTAAGAAGCCATTTTCTGTAGTTTGCTCATGAACTATTCCATTTACATTTCTTCTCCATTAATTTTGTAGTATGAATCTTAGCAGACAGAGCAATAGGAGGATGTATGGCTGCTTACTCTTATTCTTGGCGTGGAACTCTGTGACTAGCTTGCTATTCTCTTACCTAGAAGGTTGTGTTCATCCTCTTGTTTCTCTGTATTACCCCTTCCTTGTACCTAGTCTTAATTAGATTTTGAACATAAAATTTTAACTGTTGTGCACATATGGTCCCTTCCTTTCATTTTCTTTATTTCATTTCTGTGTATAGTTACCAGTCAAAGTTGTGTGAAGGAACTCAAGGTGCAGCTATCTGTGGTTTTTACTTAGCACCTTGTAAAGTGAGGCATGACCTTTCCTTCAGTTGTGTAGGGAAGAGAGAAATGGATCATACCTTTCCTAATTTTCATTTGATAAGCACATTTAGTAGAATTAAATTCTGATCATATCCCGTTTCTGAATATTAAGGATGAACTGTTTGAAAACCATGATTGTTGAAAATCTAGAAGGAAATAAACATATCACCCACGTGGATTTGCGGGACAATCAACTGACTGACTTAGATCTTAGCTCCTTGTGTAGCTTGGAGCAGCTGCATTGTGAACGGAACCAGCTGAGGGAGCTGACACTCAGTGGCTTCTCTCTTCGCACGCTCTATGCCAGTTCAAACAGTGAGTTCTTTATTCAGCCTCCTGTTTTTTTTCTTTTGTAACTCTTGTCAGAGCTTTCTAAGTACAATGGCTTCTGTGGTGTCCTTCAGCCACTCTGTAAAGTGGAGTTTGAGGTTCATTAAGGCCTCACTTTATCTTTTAAGTTTGTTGTCAACACTTAAGTGATTTGAGATAAAAAGACATTGCAAGATACTTTGAGATTCTCTGTGTTAGTATAAGAGGCACTTTGCAAAATAATGAGCTGAGAGGGTGGGCAAACTTGATCAAAATAAAATGTCACTAATTGTCTGAAACAGGGTTGGCAAATGTTAACCCAGAGGCTAATTCTGGCACCACCTGTTTTTGAGTAGCTGTAAGATACTCCATGGCCCACAAAGCCTAAAATGTTCACTGTTTACAGAAAAAGTTAGAGAATAACTAGCTTAAAACTTTCCACAGCCTTAGTTCTAGAGTAAGAAATCTCTTGTTTTTATACTGATTTGTTCAGAAATATTTTCCAATGTAAAAAGTCTCATAGTTATTGAGGCCATTCTTTTTATGAAGAATTGTTCTGCATTAAAGAAGTCTTTTTTTTTTTTCTGTATTAAAGGAAGGAATGGAAAAGAGAGTCACTTTCACTAAGTGTCACAGAAATGTAAATCTAGATAACACCATTTTATGCTCATCAAAAAAATAATAATGCTAAGTGGTACCAAAGATGTGGAGAAGCGGCAGTTCTCCTGCACCACCAGTGAGCTGGTCAGTTCATGCACTGACTGAAAGCACCACCACTCTTTTCTGTATCTCTAAAATATATTATCAGGATAATAAAGAGCTGAGTGCTTTAGCTGCCTTTTATCGTGTTATGGCATGATGAGATCAAATTATAGTTAAATCTTAGGTCAATGTATTGTCAAATTGATTGTTAACTTTGCTGCTTTTAAATATTATGAGATGGTAACATGTTCTTTGTCGTGGAAATATTTTTTTATCAGACCCATTCTCTTTTCTTAATTTATCAAGACAGTCTGAATGACTGGCCTTACTGGGAAAGACCTCTTTGACGTACATGCCGTGCTGCTTAGTAACTAAGATTCTATCAAAGTTTTATACTAAAAGGAGCTTGTTTGAAGTTTACTCTGTTTAGAGAATCCTTACATTTTAATATCTGGAAAAATTCACACCAACACTTACAGTTTTGCCACCTCAAAAGTAGAGAACTCAGCTTTGCAAAACTGATCCAAATGATAAGTTTAGATAGGAAAAGGCATTCAACTCCACAGGTCATCTGGAATATGAAACCCCTGTATGATACCACTGTATACCTACCAGGATGAATATACTGAGAAAAGCTGAAATTACCACTGTCAACTGTTGTTGGTAGTGTAAATTGGTACTGTCACTCTGGGAAACTTTGTTCAGTAGACTCTATTATAAAATTGAGAATTATGAACCCTCTGTTCAGCAATTTCTTTTCTAAACTTGTACTCAATATAAATGCTTGTTTTAATCTATAAAAGATGACAGCAAAAATGCTCATAGAAGCACTGTTCCTTGTAGCTGGAAAAGACTTTAATGCCCATGAACTCTAAAATGTAAAATTAATTGTGGTCTATTCACATAAAAAGTTTCACACAACCATGAGTGTGAATGAACTGTGAGTATATAATTACATCAGCAAGTCTCTCAGTGTGGAGTGAATGAAGCCACACTAAAAATTACAAATTCTATGTATATAAAAAACTAGTTACTATTAATATGTCACAACTAATCATCTAGTGTGAATCATTGTAGTACACAAGATCCTTCATTTAGTTGTATTTGGTTTTCATAATGGGATGAAGAAATTTAAAGTTAACTGATGTGGTTTTCATTTTTGGTTCATGTGAACATAGACTTTCTCTCTGATGATTTCATTAGGCCGCCTTCCACTTGTTTTCTCTAGTTGCTTTCTTCTTTAGAGAATGTCACTCACAAACACCTTTTTGGTTTTTTTGATTAGGGTTGACAGCTGTGAATGTCTACCCAGTGCCCAGTCTGCTCACTTCTCTAGAACTCTCCCGGTGAGTATGTCTCATGAGGGTGGGACCTATTTGTTTCATCATATTTAAGATACTTTGGGATTTTTGAGGTACAGAAAATCTAAGTATATTGAAATATTTGAATAACCTGGAGAGGAGTAAAAGGGTGGGTGGAGGAGTAAGTTTGATGGCCAGTCTGTCTAAAGAAAGATCTTGAAACAGTAAGGTACGTATGAATTACTCATTCAAAAGTCTGTAGATTTTGGATAAGATGCAAGCAAAGAAGACCCATTATCCTTTTCATATCACTAAGTTCCTTTTTCCCAATTAGAATTAGGTAATTCTTGTTTTTTAGTAACTTAAAAAATTGATTTTAATTGAGGTATAATTGGGATATAACATTGGTTACAGGCATATGAAAATGATTTGATATATTTTTCTAAAGATTTATTTATTTAAGCATGCAAGAACTGGGGTATAGGTCAGAGGTGTGGGGGTTGAGAGGACTCACTAGAGACAGAGTGGGGAGCAGAACAAACAGATTGACCAGAATACATTGCTGAGAGGAGCAGTGGGCAGGTCAGGAGAGGTCTGCCAGCACCATGTAGGTCAGTCCTCTGGTCAGGGATCAAACTTGGCGCTGCATTGCCATAGTGCTGTGCTCTAACCCATTGCACCACCAGGGAGAGCCCCATGATTTGATATTTGTAAACATTAAAAACTAAGTCTAGTTTTTAATGACATTTAAAAAATTTGGTTCCCTTCTTGTGAACCTTGTGACCTATGTTGATGTAATTTTCAGAGACACTAATTATATTCAGAATTTTATTACCTCTTTTGGTGGTGTAAAGTTAACATAAAAATAAACAAGCTTGTTTTATTTCCTTTGTTTATGTTTAAACTATGTTAGGTATTCATGATTCAGTGGATAAGGTTTATAGTCTAGTGGAAAGTTTGACAGTCAAACAAGCAGGTACAGAGCATCCTCATAAGTGTTGAGAATAGAGCCTTAGAAGCAGTTGACCATGTACTGGGCAGGGTCCTAGTTGGTCAGGGTTGTTGCAAAGATTAAGGGAGATAGTTAGTGCAAAATAGACAGCGCAGGGCTTGGCATTTAATAGTTGATCAAGAGATATTAGCTATTATAAACAGCTTTCTTTTTGTTGTTATGTTTTAGTCATTATTATAGCTAAGCTATTGTTCTAGATTCCATTCCATTCCCCATTGAGCTTGATCCTTGCCAACGACTTCCCATATCCAAATCGCCGGCACTATAAACGCACAATTTCTAGCCTCATTTGGAGCTTTCTGGTCTTTTATCCTGTCAATATCTTCCAATGTCCTAGGCATCAACCATACCACCTCTTAGTCTCTTCCACTCTAGAGCTTAGTTTTCTGTTTGAGAAATAGATGTCATTTTGGTGATATGCCACATTTTCTTACAAAATTTTCATAGATTCACGACCATTCTCAGTTTCTTCCCCTGATCAAGGCCAGTTCAAGTCCAGTCATCTGTGTCTTTGCTTCTCCTCCCACTGCTCTGCACCATCCTCCCCTGTCGTGATTATTCCAGGGTTTTTCTCTGGTTGGTTATACTTCTCATTTGATACAATATAATTTTTTTAAAGACTTATTTTATATTATTATGCATATAAAAGCTGGGGTATAGGCCAGAAATGGTGGGGGTGGGGAGGGGGGAGATTCACCAGAGCCAGAATAGGGAACAGAATAGATAGATCTACTACCGAAGAGATCAGTGGGTGAGACAGGAGAGGTCTGCTGGGCCATGTGGGTCAGCTCCCTGGCTGGGGACCCAACTTGTGCTGCACTGGCTGTGGTAGCTTCATAGTGCTGAGACTTAAACCCTTGTGCCACATGGGAGGCCCAACACAATATGATCTACCAGTGATTCAGCTCTACTTCTATATCAGTATATTACCCAGTTGGCCAGCACAGGCCCTCATCTCTCAGCCTAACATATGTGTCCTCCAATACTAGATATACTGACCTGCAGAACTCCAAATACCTCAACTAAGTACAAAGTTTTAAACCCATTATACATTCTTTCACCCTCACCTTAACTTTTTGTTTTGTGTCTATTTTAGCTTTTGACATTATCTTCAGAAAGTCACATCCAGGGCATCCCTGGTGGCCTAGGGTTTAAGTCTCACTGCTCTTACTGCTAAGGCCTGAATTTGATCCCTGAGGGAGCGACCCACATATGGTACAGCAGACCTTTCTTATCTCACTTGTTGCTTCACTTAGCAGTGTATTTCAGTAAATTCACCTGTTGTGTTCCTTACTCTGTCTCTGGTGAATACTTTCACACACACACCCCACCATACCTCTGGCCTACACCCTAGTTCTACACAAAAATTTAAAAAAAAAAGTAATTTTCAGGTGCACACCACTAATTTTTAAAATAATTATTATTTATTATTTTTAACCTCATTTGGTACATATCAGTTTTTTCCCCTGAATATGCTTTTTTTCTTCCTGATCATCTAGGTACCAGAAGCTTGAAAATCATTTTGTATTCTTTCATTTGCTCTACTCTCATATTGTAACAACCTTCAAATGCTTTTAATTGTTGTCTTCTAAAAACTTCTGGAGTATTTAGAATATTCTCTTCAATATATATGCCTTCTTGTCAAGCCGGTGTTGTTTCTTGTGTAGGCTTTTGTAATAGATGGCTTCCCTGTTATTCTTCCTTATACTAATCTCGTCCAGGCCTCCATATAGCCAGAGTGACAGTTTAAAATGTAGAACTGACATTGTCTCTCCATGGCACAAAACCTTCAGCTACTGCCACATACCTGCAGGATAAAGTCAGACTTCCAGCCTTTCTTTCTAACCTTGTTTCTTACCACTCTGCTCCATTTTTGCTGCACCAGCAGCAACAAACTTGCTTATTATTTCCCATAAATATGTCATCTCCTTCCTCACCTATGTCTTCTGCTAATGTTGTCACCTTTTTCTTAGAATGACCTCACCTCAGGTCAATTGTACAGCATTCTTCAAATTCTAACCCAGATTTCTTAGGGATCTTGTCTTGATCCATTTTAGAAAAAGTTCTTCATAGCTTCTTATTCCATTTCATTCTGCCTCATCATGTCAGCCTCATCATATCAATCACTTGGTCAATGGGTAAATTGAGGCCCACAGAAGCTAAGTAACATCTAAAAATAAAATTTCTTGTATTAAGTGTCTCCCAGGTCCTCTACCAAATACTTGTATTCACTGAAATTCTGCATGATATGAACAAAATTTCCACTTGTTAACTTTTGTCTCTACTTCCTCACTTTGATGCATTCTGTTCATTTTCTCCAGAATATGCTTCTCTTCACCCCCAGTCATTACTTTTGGGAAACTTACTCATCTTTGAAGTTTTGTTTAAAATGCCATTTCTTCCATTAAGTCTTTCCTCACCTTTCTCTCAAGCTATTCTACCATGTGTACTTTCCTACCATTGAAAGCCATTGTAATCTTCTTAGTACATGCAGCATAAATGATCCAGTATTTTATGTGGTTGTGTGTTTGTCTGTTCATCCTTCTAATTCAGCATTCACTGAGCACCTACTACATCCTAAGAGGTGTCTTGCGGCTAGTGCTCATGCCATCAAAGGGTACAGGCCTGTTACAGGTTAGTAACGTGCATTCCACTCATTTTAAGTGATGCCTTTTAATTATTTTCTGCAGAAACCTATTAGAATGTGTTCCTGACTGGGCCTGTGAAGCAAAGAAGATAGAAATATTAGATGTCAGTTATAATCTTCTGACAGAGGTTCCTATTCGGTATGTGTATGTATTGATATGTATGTATGTAATTATTTTCTTAGACTTGGGTTGTCTTTCAAAGGTACTTTAATTCATTTTTCAGTTAATATTGAATACCTGTTGAATGCAAGGCCGAGTGAAATGCTGTAACACAGTAACAGCTAGTGCATTATCTAGGCCTGCAAGGAACTTAGTAAGCAGATAGTTAAGGTGACTTGTGCACAGTTATCTATAAAATGTAATGAGGGTTACTGGCATGGGTTGTTGATTTGACAGTAATAATAGGTAATTTTTATTGATTGAATTAGTGAAGTTCCATGAACTTCATTTTATTATCTTATTTAATCTGTTAGCAACCTTGCTGTGTAGGTGCTGTGACCCTTCTCTTACAAGTGAGGAAACTTGGGCTTAGTGTGGTTCAATAACTTATCCAAAGTCCTAGTCCAAAGGAAATGATTGGCACTTGCACTTGAATGTTATTCTTACTGCAAAGCCTTTACTCTTCATCTCTATACTATAGAAGTGGAGTTTAGAAATTTAGAAATTTGGATTATTAGAGAATATGACATGGAGAATGCATATTTGAATTGACTTAATAAAATGTCAGGATTGCTCTATGTGGAAGGAGAAAGAGAAAGGTGTTTGGGGACTAAGGGGGTGATATAGTCAGAAGCAATGAGGTGTAAAACATGTCACTGTCACCAAGTGGAATCTTTTAAATTAAACTAGAGGTCCTATAGCAGAGCATTGTGAGAACTGCTGTGGAGTCAGACCTTCAGTTCAAATCCTGACTATTCCATTTACTGTGTTCCATGTGAAATCTTTGACAAAACAAAGTCACTTAACACTTATGAACTTCATAGTTAAATGGCCTGGGATATTTTAAGTGCTCAAAAAATTAAAATTTTTGTTATAATAAATTTTGTTATTTTAAATCATTTATAGTAATATGAATAAACTTGGGGTGTCATTTAGACTTAACATCTAACAATTTAATCTAGAAATTGCTTTTTGTTGTTTAGATCTGCTCTCTGCTGCTTGCTTTCATTAATTCACTTTTCTCAGAATGACCTTAATGGTTTCCTGGTGGGTGAGGGTCAACATATGGATGTGACTATTTTTTTGGCTCATGCATTTGTTAGTGATTCTGCTTTGTAGATTTTTTTTTTTTAAGATTTATTTATTTGTGCATACAGAGCTGGGGTACAGGCCAGAGGCTCAGGGGCAGCGAGAGACTTCACCAGAGACAGAGTGGGGAGCAGAACAGGAAGATCGACGAAGTACACTGCTAAGGGCAGCAGCGGGCGGGTCAGGAGAGGTCTGCCGCGCCATGTGGTCACCTCTGGGGCAGGCGGGAATCGAACTCATGCGGAAGTGGCTTTAGTTTCTCAGTGCAGTGCTTTAACCCTCTGCGCCACCAGAATATTTTTATTTTAGTTTATTGGTTAAGATCCAAGGCCAAACTCCGAAAGAAAGATTTAAATAAGCTTTTTTGTTTGCTTGTTTGTTTCAATATTTCCCTATAGAGTTCTTAGTAGCTTAAGTCTTAGGAAACTGATGGTGGGGCACAATCAGGTACAAAGCCTCCCAGTGCTCGTGGAACACATCCCCCTCGAGGCGTTGGATGTTCAGCATAACTTACTCACCAGGCTGCCAGACACCCTCTTCTCCAAGGCCTTAAAGTAAGTATTAAAGATTCTACTTAGAAGAGTAAAACTTATGGCTAAACAAATTATATGGAGTTGTTATTGGAGTGATCTTTGGAACTACACTTATAGTGTTTACCCATAGGTCAGCTATGGATGGAGGCTTATTTGTATGAAATATCACACTGTTTTATGAGGCCACAATCTTCAACTCAAAAGTTGAAATTGTTAGTGTTGTAAACAGTATCATACAAGTTGGGAAGGCTCAGCCTTTCATCTCAGAAAATGAATACAATTATGACCTTTAAAGAGAAAGGACAACACTCTGATATGGCTTCCTTGGGAAATTTTTAGCTTTTATATTAGGGGAAAAAGGACTTTTCACTAAAGTTAATTTAGCTTTTGCTTCTAGCTTCACATATAGTCATTAAGTTAGATGCTCTATTTCCAGTACCTTTTTAGTACCTCTGAAAACTGTGCACTTAAAGGTTAACCTTGTTTCAAAAGGTATTACTTGTTTTCTTTCTCATTATAAATTAACAAATAGTATGCTTTCTATTTTAAAAACTGTAATCAGTTTTTCCTAATGTCTGTCTCACTATACAGTGGAGTAGAAACTAGTTTTTAGTTATAGTCTTCTGCAATGTGAACAAGAGACTATTGTCCCCAGTTTAGAAATGGAGAAAACAGATGACCAGTAGTCAGTTAACATAAGACAACAGGAGACATGTAAAGCATTTAGCCCATAAGTGTCTGGCTTTTTCTTTGGCAGCTTATACATTTCTTTTTTTTTTTTTTTTAAAGATTTATTTATTTATGCATACAGAACTGGAGTACAGACCAGAGGTGCAGGGGTTATGAGAGGATTCACCAGAGATAGAGTGGGGACCAGAACAGACAGATTGATGAAGTATATTGCTGAGGGGAGCAGTGGACAGGTCGGGAGAGGTCTGCTGCACCATGTGGGTCATCTACTTGGCTGGGAATCAAACTTATGCTAAAGTGGCTTTAACTTCATAGTACTGTGTTTTAACCCACTGCACCCCTGGGAGGGCCCACTTAAACATTTCTTAATGTATATTATACTTAGTTAGATTTTCCTAAAAATAAAATCTTTGTAAAGTTTAAAAATATTTTAAGGAAATTATCTTTTTTTTTTTATAAAATAATATAGTTTATTTTTACGTCATTTTGTGCATTTTTCCATCTCAGTTGTAATCCCCATTGGCTTCCCGTCACCAAATCACCCATGTGCCATCACCATAGTCTAGTGCATTTCCCCCAACTGTTTTTGATCCCATTCCCCACTTCACCCCTAAAATGCCTCTGGTATATAGCTGCTCATTATTATTATTTCTTACCTGGTCTTGTTATACTTCTGCTATAAGTGAAACCATCTGGTATTTTTCCTTTGCTTTCTGGCTTATTTCACTAAATATGATCTTTTCTAGCTCTATCCATGTTGCTGCAAAAGGCATGTGTTTATTTTTTTTGGTTGCTGAGTACTATTCCATTGGGTATATGTACTACATCTTTTTAATCCAGTCATCCACTTTTGGGCATTTGGGTTATTTCCATGTCTTTCCAGTTGTAAATAAAGCAGCAATAAACATAGGGGTGCAGGTATCTTTTTGAATCACTGGTTTTGTGTCTTTTGGGTAGATACCTAGCAGTGGGATCTCCTAGATCATATGGAGGGTCATATGGAAACTCCATGTTTAGCAGTTCGAGGAACCTCCAAACAGTTTTCCATAGTGCTTGTACTAGTTTGCATTCCCACCAGCGGTGCAGAATTCCTTTTTCTTCACATCCTTGCCAACATTTATTGTTGCTAGTTGTTTGAAGATGTGCCATTCTCACTGGGGTGAGGTGGTAACTCATTGTGGTTTCAATTTACAACTCCTTTATTACAAGTGATTTTGAACATTTTTTCATATGCTTGTTGGCCATCTGCATTTCCTCTTTGGAGAAGTGTCTTTTTAGGTCTTCTGCCCATTTTTTGATGGAGTTGTTTATTTTTGTTGAGTTTCATTAGTTCTATGTATACCTTTGTGATCAATCCTTTATTGTTAGTTTCGTGTGAGAAAAATTTTTCCCAATTAGTGGGATGTCTGGTTTTTGTAATGTTTCTTTTGCTGTACAGAAGCTCTTTAACTTGATGTAGTCCCATCTATTTTTCCTTTCCTTCACTATTGTTGCTTTGGGTGCTCTATCTTCAAAGATGCTACTGAAGTGTATATCATATAGTGTTTGGCGCATCTTTGCTTCCAGGTATTTTATGGTTTCCATTCTTATGTTTAGATCTTTAATCCACTTTGAGTTGATTTTTGTGTATGGAACGAGGTAATGATCTAGTTTCATTTTTTTGCATGTAGCTTCCCAGTTTTCCCAGCACCATTTGCTGAACAGACTCTTTTGTTCCATTGTATCTTTGCTCCTTTGTCAAAGATTAGCTGCCCATAAACCTGTGGGTTTATATCTGGGTTTTCTATTTGAATCCACTGGTCTGTATGTCTGTTCTTGTTCCAGTGCCATGCAGTTTTGATTATTATGGCTTTGTAGTATAGTTTGAAGTTTGCGATTGTAATGTCGCCATTCTCTTTCTTCTTAGTCATGAGAGTTTTGGCTATTTGAGGCCTTTTGTGGTTCCATATGAATCTCATGAATATTTTTTCTATTTCTTTGAAGAATGTCATTGAGACTTTTATTGGGGTGATATTACATCTGTATATCGCGTTTGGTAGGATGGCCATTTTGATGATATTAATTCTCCCGATCCATGAGCAGGGGATGTCTTTCCATTTCATAGTGTCTTCTTGAATTTCTTTTAACAGTGTTTTGTAATTTTCTTTGTATAGGTCTTTAACCTCTTTTGTTAGGTTGATTCCCAGGTATTTGATTCTTTTTATTTTAATTGAAAAGAGGATGGTTTTTTATATTTCTGCTTCTTCTGATTGGTTGTTTGTGTATAGGAAGGCCTCTGACTATTGTGTGTTGATTTTATATCCTGCTACCTTGCTAAACTGGTTGATGGTTTTGATTAGTTTCTCTGAGGAGTTTTTAGGGTTATTCATGTAAATTAACATATTGTCTGCAAATAAGGACAGTTTTACTTCTTCTTTCTCTATCTGGATTCCTTGTATATCTTTTTCCTGTTTTAATGCTCTGGCTAGAACTTCCAATGTTATGTTAAAGAGCAGTGGTGATAGTGGACACCCTTGTCTTGTTCCTGATCTCAAAGGAAAGGCTTTCAGCTTTTCTCCATTGAGGATAATATTGGCTGTGGGTTTGTCATATATGGCTTTTATCATGTTGAGGTATGTTCCTTCTATTCCAAGGATTTCAAGGGCCTTAAACATGAATGGGTGTTGAACTTTGTCAGATGCCTTCTCTGCATCTATTTGTATGATTATGTGGTTTTTATTTTTTCTGTTGGTCAATGTGATGGATTACATTAGTTGATTTTCTGATGTTGAACCATCCTTGTGCTCCTGGGATAAAGCCCACTTGGTCATGGTGTATTATTCTTTTAATGCATTCATTGTTGGATTCTGTTAGCTAAGATTTTTGCATCAATGTTCATTAGGGAGATTGATCTGAAGTTTTCTTTTTTGTGTGTTTCTTTGTTATGTTTTGCTATTAGTGTGATGGTGGCTTCGTAAAAAGTATGTGGTAGTTTTCCTTCTTTTTCAATTTTTTGGATGAGTCTGTCTAGAATAGACAGTAGTTCTTTTCTGAAAGTTTAGTAAAATTCATTTGTAAATCCATCCGGGCCTGGGCTTTTATTTTTGGGGAGAGTTTTGATTACTTCTTCAATTAAGGTAATTGTCTTTTTGAAAAATTTATGTGGAGTCTTCATGCAGTGACATTCATTAGAAATGCATAACTGCATTTAGTTCTAATAACAGTCTGAAAATTAATTTACAACTGTAGAATACTATACTAAGAAAAGTTACTTAGCTACTGTCACAAACTGTCAATAATATGTATTTAATACTGACTCTGTATAGAGTACTTCTTGGATTTACAAAGCCTCAAGCAGACACACAGCATAAAGGCATATTAGGTATTCCAGTCACTTAATATGAGGAAGACTTAAGAACATACAACAAGTTTAGTATTAGCTATCTTTTATTGAGCATGTTCTGTATATGTCAAATACTATGCTAGGGGCAAGTTTTTAAAAGTTATATCATATTCTCCTTATTAAATAGACAAAGCTCAAAATGAATTATGATACCCAATGTTGAGAGATGTGAATAGCTGTCATTCTTACATTCTTTTTATTGAAGTATAATTTGATAAACTTTCTGGAATTCACTTTGACAATATAAATAAGTATCTAAAAGATGTATATAATTTTTAATATATACAAATCTGCTTCTGGGACATATAGCTGCTCACTGCAGTGTCTGTTATAGCAAACAATTGTTGAAATAGCTTATCTGCCAAGAGTATTGTTATAAGAGAACTGGCTGTTTAAATCAGATAAAGTTTTTTTCTGAAGAGCATCTTCACAGTTCAAGTATTTTTGAACATCATACAGAATGCTACCCTTTCATTAGCCACACAGTACAAGATGAAGCTAGCTTAGAGTCAGGCCACTTAAGGTTCTTATAACACACACAAGCCTGTAGTCTCTATTTGGCTGGTCAAAGTTGAGGAAAAGCAACATTGATTGGGTAGAAGCAAAAACTATAAGAGAAAATTATCTGGAGTAAGTTACTTTTGAGTTTGGGTGTGTGAAATACAGGATTCTATACTGAAATGGCATAAGAAGACAACAAGTAACTCTAGTGGAAATTTGTGCTTATTCTGTAGCCTCAGATACTTGAATGCTTCTGCAAATAGTTTGGAGTCTTTGCCATCTGCCTGTGCTGGGGAGGAGAGTCTGAGTGCACTGCAGCTGCTCTATCTGACCAACAACCACCTCACGGATCAGTGTGTGCCTGTCCTGGTGGGGCACCCACACCTGCGGATCTTACATCTTGCAAACAATCAACTACAGACTTTTCCTGCAAGGTAAATGAATGCAAACTTGGGCCACTTGCAATTTGCAGTTGTGAGATTACCTTATAGTTCTCTTTTACTTGTTTATGCTTGCTTTCTACTGACTGATTTACTGAAGCTGGTATTCCAGTAAATGGGGTGATCTGTATGTACATATTTGTTAAGTGTCAATAACAAGAGAACTTGTGCTTAAAATGTATTTAATTATTAGTTTTAATTAATTACTATAGTCTGAAAATTTTTGATTAGAAAATACAGGCTTATAAACTGAATTTTAAGAATTCAGAAGACAATTTTTTCTTTTGAAAATTTAAATGAAACTATCATGTGTGATAAAACTGGAAATGAAAAGCAGAAAAACTATTTTGATTCTAATTTTATAAATTTTCTTAGAAATACCATAAATTTAGAAAAGTTGGATCTTTTATTTTTGGTTAATATTTATGAAGTGAGATATTCGGAATTCATGGAAGACAAACAGGATAAATTTGTTTCCTGGAAGGAATTACAACAGTGGTTTTTAAATGCAGAATGTTAATTTCAGGATATGATAGATTTCTTGAAATCCTATCAGATTAATTTACTCAGCCTCACATATGTTGGTATAAAGTGAAAAATAACAGACCACAGATACATTATACTAGTTTATGACACTGTTGGGAGATACCAGGTGTAATACCCTGAAACTAATGTGTTCTGCCTCACTTGATGACTCTTTTATTGCTGGAGGGTCAAAACCAGACTGGTCTGAAATTTAAAACACATCAAATAATTTAATATGAAAATAAGAAATTAGAAGAAAGACAATATTTAACAAGTCATGCAAAATTAGAATTACCTGAAAAACAATAAAAGAGATGGGCTACAGTATCAGTATATTAAAGAATATGTATGTTCTATGATGAATAAACCCTCTAACACATCTTCTCCTATACAGTGTGGTAGTTACACAGACACATCCAGTACTTGTTTCTTTTGAACTAGTTTCAGACTCTAATAGGATCTTGGGTGTTGAGTAAGAGGCTGATTCATACAGGGACACTGATTCTGTCTACAACTGAGAAAAACTGAAACAACCAGTAGTGTGGCATTTGGGTTAGAAACACTTTTAAAGTACTTTATTAAGTTAAAAAAGGCAATTTATAAAACTATATATCATTTTTCTTTTTAAGGCTCAAATATGTATTTTTTAGATAATATAGTTTATTTTTATATCATTTTTCTTTGTAAAATATAGTTTTGCACATTAAAAATATTCTACCAATGTTATCAGAAATTATCTCTTGTAGTGAAATGAAATTATTTTTTTGTTTAACTTTTTTAGTAAGTATGGCCTATTTAATACTGAGTTTATTTATTACTATTTAATACTACTTAGTAACAGCGTAGTTATTAAGTCTTTTAATCTGCTAGCAATAGAAATTATTTTATGAAATGGAATATTTTGTGTGATCGAATTTTCTAGCAGTAGAAATTATGCATGAAAAAAGGAGGATATGACATACACATGAAAATTTTGCTAGAAAATTCAGCAAAAGGAGATTAGTAATTCTTTTAGATTGATAATATGGTTGATTTATTTTTTTCCCTAATTTTCACTTCATGTTGTAACAGTTTATTATTTTCATAACTTTTATTTCAACAAATCAAAAAGAAATCAAAACAATTTTCAACAATTCAGAAAAAGGCAGCTTAAGATATTTTGCTTACTATTTGGAAAGTTTCACTCAGTTCAGCAGAACTATATGGATCGCTTGTGTCCCTAACACAGCACCTTTTGTATAAAAAGCACTCGAGAAATGTTTAGTGAAGATGATTTATTATGTTAGAAATAAATAACTAGAAATTTAAAACTGGGATCTTAGCGATGATTTAGTAATTTATTTATCTGTTGAGAATATTGATGTCCACTGACATTAGATTACCCAGTATTTTGCAACAAGTTAGTGGCAAAGCATGTGTCAAAACTAATCCCAAGCCAAAGCTGATTCAGCTGCTTCCTGTGAGTTAGATTGCAGGGGTTTGTCAGGACCCGGCATCTGTAAGAAGAGCAGGGGCAGCTTCAGCCCTTGCAGCACAAAGAAAGACAGAGTAGCTGAGGCTCAGCAAGAGCAGCCTGTGGCGAGCCTCTCCTGTTGCTGGGTCTGATGGTGGCATTCTGATCAGTCACGCGGCAGTAGGCCAGATCGCCGCTGCTCTGTGACTGCTGCACTGCTGGCTTGGCCAAGTGTGTATGTACGATGGCATTTTGTTATTCCTTTTTCAGCAAACTAAATAAGTTGGAGCAACTGGAAGAACTGAACCTAAGTGGTAACAAGCTTAAAACCATTCCCACAACCATAGCAAACTGCAAGAGGCTGCACACTCTTGTCGCACACTCCAACAACATCAGCATTTTCCCAGAAATACTGCAGTTGCCTCAGATTCAGGTACTTTTATGTGCTACTGGGGGACAGGATTGAGAATGAGACTATTCTCACAAGGAAGAAGAAAGTGGCAGTTTGGGATCACAGTATTTTAAATTATTTCTTGGGAAGAAATTAAGTTCCCTTTGAGGATACAGTTGGAGATTGAGAGTTAGGGAGTTGAGAGTAAACATTCAGTACTGTAGATTTCTTTTGATCTCTCCATTTTCCTCTCAGTTTGTAGATCTAAGTTGCAATGACTTGACAGAAATCCTGATTCCAGAGGCTCTTCCTGCCACTTTACAAGATCTTGACCTGACTGGAAATACAAATCTGGTTCTGGAACACAAGACACTGGACACGTTTAGGTAGGAAAATTGAAGTCTGTGATCAGACACAAGCACAAGTTGAATCCATATGTGTTATCAACCCCACAAGGCACTGGTGGGCCTTCTTAAGGAACTTGGAGATCTCAGCTATTTATATGAATTAGCTTGTAAAGGCTCTAGGTTCACTACTTTAACTCAGTTACTAGTAGGTACTGTATAAGCAGTCAGCTATTATATTTGACTCAGCACTATGGCTTAGTATTTTTACATAGCAAGCATAGATATTTTAGATGGCACAGATCATATCCCTACATTTGAAAGATAACATGAGCTCATTCATTATAGCAGACTAAATAAAATAAGTAGACAATTGGAGGCTTTATTATGCTTAATTTTCCACTGGGGGAAAAAATGGTATTAATTGGCCCCTATTTCTTCCTTCTATCCTTTTCCCTTTCTCCTTGGCCAGATGAAAGCACACAGCTTTCATCCATTTTCTTTGGAAATGAATCTTATACAAACCAGAGTGCAGGGTGTAAGAGGGCCCACCAGAGACAGAGGGGAGCAGAACACAGACTGACTGAAGCACACTGCTGAAGGGAGCAGTGGGCGGGTCAAGAGAGGTCTGCTGTGCCATGTGGGCCTCCTCCCTGGCCAGGGATTGAGTTAATGTTGCAGTGGCTGTGGAGAGCTTCATAGTGCTTTGCTTTAACCCGCTGTGCCACCATGGGGTGGGGGGTGGGGTGGGGGAGGGCTCAGCAGATTATTTTTAAAAAACATATGTTAATAGTTTGTGGAAAGAACAGGTGTGTGTATAATGTTTAATCTTTCTTTTACTTCCCACAGCCATATCACAACCCTGAAAATTGATCAGAAACCTTTACCAACCACAGATTCTACAGTTACATCAACTTTTTGGAGCCATGGCCTGGCTGAAATGGCAGGGCAGAGAAATAAGTGAGTATGTTGGCCATGGAGAAGGAAAGAAAAAGGCAACTGCTGACATCTGGGAACAGGTGGAATGCTGAAGACCAGACTGTGGAGTTATCCAGTTGGACATAAACAAACCATAGCATACCCATATCAGATAAAAAGCCTCTTGAAACCATGATCCAGTGAGAAAAACACAGTCTGAATGTAGTCCACAATATCAAATCCCCCTCTCATGGCTAAAATGGGCATTTGTTAGTGTCATTACAATTGTACCTTTATTCTTGTACTGATTTTTTCCTATATATAAGATTTATTGTGATTCCAGCCATAGATCCACCTTACTTTATGGAAGCACACAACCTTGTGTGATCCCCTAATTTGTTACATTTTCCCCACAGTGACCAGACCCAAGCCCAACTCCTCTACTGGCTCCTTTCCAGCACACTTTTCCTTGTTGCTCAGTACAGTCAGCCCACTGGCTGAACTATAGATTTTCAGGATAGTAACAATACTAGTCACTAATTGTTATTAAGAGAAAACTTTTTTTTTTTTAAGATTTATTTATTTATGAATACAGAACTGGGGTACAATCCAGAGGCGCAAGGGCAGTGAGAGGAAGAGAAAACTTTTTAAAAAAATGTTTTATTTATGCATATAAGAACTGAGGTACAGACCAGAGTCAGTGGCGAGAGGATTCACCAGAAACAGGTGGATCCACTGAAATACATTGTTGAGGGAAGCAGCAAGTGAGACAGGAGAGATCTGCTGCATCATGTCAGTCAGCTCCCTGGCACCAGGGACTGAACTTGTACTGCAGTGGCTGTGGATAGCTTCATAGTGCTTGTGCCACCAGGGAGGCCCACTAAGAGAACGCTTAATCTTCCCAGCCATTGGCAATATTACAGAGCTAATACGTGCTGTCAATGAACCTGCTGAATTCCCCCATTTCTTAAGCCAAATTCTTTGAGATGCTGCTTAGTGATATTATCCAACAACTTTCCTTGTGTAGATTAGTGCCTACTACTAATCTTCTCCATCCTCAGTTAATATTTTTTCAAAGAAGTTTCCCCAGAGATAGCTCTTTACTAATAACTTTTTTTAATGTTTGTCTTCCTTCCCTTTCTGTGGTAGGCTCTGTGTATCTGCCCTGGCTGTGGATAACTTTGCAGAGGGTGTGGGAGCTGTATATGGCATGTTTGATGGGGACCGAAATGAGGAGCTGCCTCGCCTGCTCCAGTGCACGATGGCAGACGTGCTTTGGGAGGAGGTTCAACAGGCAACAAACGACACTGTTTTCATGGCTAACACCTTTTTGGTATCTCACAGGTAAGCAGGTGGGTTGAATAATCCCTAACTTAGTTCTGCTTTTGGAAAGTGAATCAGATTATACTAGAAGGTCAGGCTCCTAAATTATAGGTATAGGATCAAGGTGAGGTCTTTTTTTTTTTGTTTCCATTCTTTCTGTATCCTCTTGGAAGACTTTGGCTCTTTAAAAAGTTTGTGGAGCCATTGATTTTCTTTGTGGAGTCCAGATGTCTTTGAGAAAGCATATGGTTGATTCTTTGAGGATCTGGAAAGCCCAGAAAGCATGTGTAGAATCTTGTATGTTTGCATATGCATTAGTACATTGGGGGAAGAAGACGGTAGGCTTTTGTAAGATTCTCCAAAGAGCCAGAAACTTAAGCGCTGATTAGATTCATATATTTAGAATACTTATTATTAGAGATTTACTAATATTCTCAACGAATAATTTTCATTCTCACTGAAATCTAAACCACTTATGGGCAAAACCCTATATGACAGCCTGCGTCTCATCACCCCTCCTTCCCTATCTGCTGTCTTAATTTCTTTAGTTTAAGTTACCTGAAGTCAATGAAGGTTTGAAAATGTGCCTACAATAAGATATTTTGAGTGAGAGACCATGTTCAGATACATTTTTATTACAATCCTTGTTATAATTGTTCTATTTGGTTTGTGTTAAAATTTATAAATTCACTCATAGACATGTGTATAGGAAAAAGCACATTTGTGATTTTATTTTTTAAAGATTTGTTTATTTATGCATACAAGAGCTGGGGTACAAGCCAGAAGTTTGGGGCTGGGTGGGGCGAGAGGACTCAATGGGGAGACAGAATGGGGAGCAGAATAAGCAGATTGTCTGAAGTACACTGCTGAGGGGAGCAGCGGGCAAGACAGGAGAGGTCTGCTGAGCCATATGTGGGTCAGCTCCCTGGCTGAAGATAGAACTTGTGAAGTGGCTGCCGGACAGCTCCACAATGCTGTGCTATAACCCTCTGTGCCACCAAGGAGGGCCCACATTTGTGGTTTTAAGCACATATCCTGAACATATCCTCCAGGTAGAAGGGGGTGACCAATGTATAACCAATTTGTTGAAAACCTTTTAGTAGCTAATGGAGCACCTGCCATGTCAGGTGGGTTACTCAGAGGAGATGCACGTGCACACTTGAAGGCTGTCAATGTGTGTGATTGAGATTAGGCTGAACAGCCTGGAGCCTGAACTCTTTAAGAAAACAAAGCAAAGATGTTGGGAAAGGAGTGTGCTTCTCTAGTAGAATAGAGCTAGGACTTGGCAAAAATGAAGGGCTTGGGAAAAGGATCTTAATTTATAAAGCACTTCTTTTTTTTTTTTTTTTTTAAAGATTTATTTGTGCGTACAGAACTGGGGTACAGGCCAGAGGCTCAGGGGTGGTGAGAGGCTTCACCAGAGACAGAGTGGGGAACAGAACAGGCAGATGGA